GACTTACAGGTACCAGATCAATTATGCAACAGAGAAGATGAGAGAACAGCCTCTCTCCACCCCTTGCCCTAGAGGCTGCGAGAAGCTGCAGTGGTATATGTAAAAGGACCAAGGCCAGGTGAGAGATTCTGGAAATATTGCACTTTTACCCCACATCCCATGAACCCTGAAATAGAGAATCCCAAACTTCCTCATCATTTAATTCCCCCACTGTAACATGGGTAATGTGCAGCATATAGTGAGTGTTCAGTAAGTGTTTAGTTTTTGACTATTGCTTTGCACCTACAATAAAAACTCCCTAGAGGGTACTTATATTCCTCTGATTTAAATGTATCCGTATCTTGACCTTCACCCATTCAGAACACATTTGCAAATATATAACAGATTAAGTTTCTCTTTTGCTCTTTAAAAATAAACAGAAAGCTGCACATTTTCTACAGCAGGGGTCCTTGCTAGAAAACTTTCCTTGGTTCAGTAGTCTTCTATTGTTATGAATAGAACATCAACATAATTAACATAAGAATCCCTTAGAGGCCAATTTTAAATGAAACCGCATTTAATTGCAGGTAATTCTTTTATTCCCTAAGATGATGCTAACTAACAACTGAGTATGTGAAATATGTCAAATCTCTACAAACCCATCTAAAATGAAATGGTATAGTCTATCAAACCCCAAAAATACAGAATTATGTCCATTACTTGGCCAAAACAAAGAGAAAAAGAAAGATAAATCCAAAGATCAAAGTAGCCATAAAACAAAACAAAAGATAAGTTTTGACAAAAGGCTCTGGATTTCCTGATTTTCTCAGTAACATGGTATGGGTTCTTTGGAAATAGTCTCTTGCTAAGAGAAACCCTTAAGTCAATATTAGTTTTTTTTTATTTCTAGCATTTTTCTGGTAGCCTAAGTAATTAATTTCAACCCTAAAGCCTTCAATTCCCCAAATCCATCATGTTAAGAAGATAGGATAATTGTGCACAGAAAGTCCACATAGCAGGTAATCCACACATATTGCTATGGACTGAATTATGTCCCCCTAAATTC